TATTAACATTCACTTGTAACATACGTATTATTTAATTAACGTTCGCTTATAATTGAAAATCCCAAATTTGATTGGCCGGGGTTTTTTAATTGACGTATTGTAAACTGTATAAAAAAAAAATCGTTAATAATCGGGTGACTCAGATAGTTATTTCCTAATTTGGGACGGTCTCACCTGTTATCGAACCCCACCAGGAGTCTAGATACTTTTGCAGTAACGTGATGTGGCGCATGAGAAATGGCCAATCGGGATGCGTAAATTTTGATCATCCCGGATCAGCCCGACGTCAAAACAAAACACGTGCGCAAGAAGAAAAAAGAGAAAAAAGCAAAAATACTCAAAAACTAGTGTTTAAATCGGCCTTTAGTCACTAACAAGAAATGTTGGGAGCGTAATTTTACATATGGGGATGATCTTTAAAGGCCTATAACCACGAACCCTAACCAGAAACATAACATAAAGTCAAAAAAGCTTATCCGAATGTGCCACATCACGTTACTGCAAAAGCGTCTAGACTCCTGGCGGAGTCCAGTAAGTAATTTTGGGCCCTTATATGTAATATTTTTTAAAAATTAGGTCCTTATATGTAATATTTTTTAAAAATTAGGCCCTTATATGTAATTATTTTTAATTGGCCCGTATTTGTAATTATTTTTACTTTCCGGGCCTTATTTGTAAATTCCAATAGACTGTCATTAATTAGATATGAAACACTCTACAAATTCATCCCCATGATTTGTATAAAATGTTGATCGGACATAAAAATGTATAATTAATAAATTAAATATAGAGTAGTCACTTTTATCAAAAATTGAAACTAAAAAAAAAAACTTCGTTCAATAATGGCTGCAATCCTAAACATTCGAATTCGCTTCATTATTTTTCTGAGCTTATGCCTATTTGCGACTGCAGTTTTCTTATACAGAGCTTCAAATACATTACCCATAAATGCTAATAATACACATAATATGCTTAAGCACTTCCAAGATATCGAAGTGCATAGACATAAAACATATACCATTAGCCCTGAAGAAAAGTTCCTCGCGTATTTTTCTCATAGTGGATATCATAATCAACGTATAGCTTTAGAGAATGCATTGTTACTTGCGAAGCTTCTCAACCGTACTTTATTACTATCTCCTGCGGTGCTTGGCCGACCACTCCCGTGGCTAGCATTCGACATAATGTACAGACGTTTATTCGTGAACACAAAAACTGGTATAGAACATTGTAAAGATATATCAGAAAATTATTCTTTACCAATAGAATGTCTTGAATATTTTGCCTATACTATTGTATCTTGGGATTTCTTGGTTGATATGGATCCGATCAGGAAATGGCATAGGATAATGGATCGACCAGAACATTCCTACGAATGGCTTGAAAAAAATCTCAATATAAGTAAAAACAATGATATTTATTTCATAAAAGACGCAGCACGACTTGACTATCGTATTTATGATACTCCTAATAGCACACTTCCTTACTCTAAATATTCAAGAAAAATGGAAATTTCCGATTTGCTTGCGATCGATACAAAAGTGATTCATTTTGGTTCTCTATTTGGAACATTTCGCGTGGTGCCTGAATTGTCAACCAACTTAGAGCATGCTGTCTTTATTCGAAAACATCTTGTCCCAACCAATTCCCTCGTTCAACGTGCTGCGAATCGCATTATCAACAAATTAGGTGGCGCTAAAAACTTTATAGGGCTTCATATACGTGTATCCGATGGTTTTTTTATGAAATTTGCCAGACCAAACATTGATAAAATCTATCATCAAATCATTGATACATTTACGAATCTTTCTCCGCAAGAAGTAGACGTTCTCGAAGGTGGCACACATGATAGTGATATCTTAGTCGATGATACTGTAGATTTAAGTAAACGTCAATCTCGTAGTATCGAAATTGATAACAGCTCATACCAAGAAATTGTTAATCTAAACACTCTGAAAGAAGTAAAATGTCGAAAACCACTTCATCCAACAGATAAAGGTGTTAACACTATTATTTATATTGCCACAGATGCAGAATCTCCACGTACCAATCCGTTACTATTCAAATTTTTTAATACTTTTCCTTGTGTATTTATCTTGGATGATTTTGATCAGGAATTAGCTGAAATAAAAAGTGTTAGAAATGCAGAAGACAAAACCCCTTTAGTTAGCTATCTTATTCCCTTGTTAGATGCCACGATCTCTGCAAATGGATTTCGTTTTTATGGTACACCCAGATCAACATTTAGTAAATATATTGACAAGACTTTGCATCCATTGTATTCGGGAAAGGAATTATTAATAGAGTTAGAGTAATATAATCACCAAATAAATAAATAAATAAATAAATAAATATGTACAGTGACAATATAATACAGTATTATTTCGCATAATTCAAACGTATTTTATTTTATTCATTTTTTTGGTTTCTTATATTCGTAAGTATATAATGTCGCTTTTATTAAGGAACCACGATTTTTATTTTAATTTATTTGTCATTTTTGATCGTTTTATTTAATATATCATCTAGCATAACCACCATGCGTCTTAAGGACGATGAATACATCCACTAACATAAAAATGGAATAAAATGGAATACGTAAAATGGTATTTATAAGATAAAATTATGCAAATTTTTGGTTGGCTTCTATAAATCAAGTCTTTTATTGGTTTACTGACATGTGATCAGACACAAGAGAACAGGAAGCGGATGACTGGATTAGTTTGGTATGGTTTTTTTAGATTCGTGCTGCATATTAATCCGCTATTATATGTAATAGTATGATTAGGAATTACAACCAATTAGTACGTAACGGTTTTTTTAAATTCGTACTTGGTAGGTGTAATGCACAGTTTTACTCCTTGGACACAGTGTTGTCAATAGATAGCTTTGGATATGAGTTTGAACATTTTTGGATATTTCTGAACAAAAGTATAAATTAAAATTAGTCAAAATTTTACTAAGATAATCTATATATTTTTCAAGTGAAAAATACAACACTGCCTGTATATACATGTTTTTAAACTAAAAGAGTTTGTTTTATTTAAAACATATTAAATAAATATATTTTTAATTATTAATATTATAAAAATATAGATAATTTTACTAGTCAAAAAGATACAGTTTGATCTTAAATTAATCTCAAATCAGTAGCTAATTCGAGTTTAAATATTAAATTTTAATTAAATTTATATTAAATTAGTCAAAAAATTAATTTAAATTTGATTTATATTTGATTTTTTTTTCAATATTAAAGTGACTTCTTGGTCATTTTTTTTATTTAATTGTAGTTAACTTTATAGTATACTACAATGTCATACTATATATATATTTAAAGAGTACAACTAGTCACATATACAACTTTTGGTTATTTATTTAAGTAGTTTACTTATTACTAAGTTCTATATTAATTCCATATCTATAACCAACTAGAGAGTTGTCTGTTTTAAACCCTTTGTATCTATATATATATATATATTTGGTTTTTAAGGTAACCTCTTGGTTGCTATCCTTTTATTTGATTATTGTTAACTTTTACAGTATAATATATACTATACTATATATATAGAGGAAAATACAACTAGTCACATATACAACTTTTAGTTTCCTATTTAAGTAGATAACTAATACTTTTTTTTACTAAGTAAATTACTTTTGGGCTTTTAATAAAAGTTGTAAAGCTTATTAAGATGCATTTAATAGTAGTAAGAATATTAAAATTGGTCTGATAGTTCTTTAAAAAATATTTTACTAATATATAAAATATCTTTAATTAATAATCTGTCAGTCAATTAAAGAATTTTTTTATTAAGATGTAACAGCAATCACTTATAATTTGAAGTTGAATTAAAATTTTTACAAATAAGTAAAGTTATAAAAATTTTAAACAAATACAGTATTAAAGTAGTACAAACAATAGAATAATATCATAAGTTTCTAATTTTAAACTTATTAGATATTGATTTTTTTTTTTTAAAGAACTTTACTCAATAAGCATACAGCATTTACTAAACTAAGCCTATATTATTTAGATATCAAAGTAATTTGTAATATGTTACTTTTAACTTATTTTAAATAAATTTATTGTTTTTTTTTATTTTTTAAATTGAAATAGATTTACAAATTGTTTATAATATTTTCTATATTAGATCTTAAATTATAGTAGCTCTTACGAATCTCCTTTAGTATAGATGGGTGTATATAAATTATTACAAGATTATAGTATATAAAACCTAACTAATTTAGCTAATTTAAATCCGAACCTTAACTCTGACCCTAATAATTTATAAAATTACTTAAATTAGTTCAAAATTTTTTTTATAATTCGGCAGTCCTGCCACTTTTTATTTGCAGATTAACTAAATTAAGAAATTTATATTCACTAATAATAGCTATACTAATCTACCTATAAAGTAGCTTACCCACACTTTCATCAGATATGACTTGCCTTAGTGGACTTCAAGCCTCTCTCCGGACCCCTAACTTACTAGAGGTTATTCTTTGGTTATAGGCTAATGCTACACATCATATCAAAGTTAGCTTTCCTTTTTACCAAATAAAATACAAACACAAATGCAAAGGGCAAAACAAAAATGAGAAATACTATGGCGTCAAGTTCTGGTTTACCTAAATTAATAAAATTAAATAAAACAAATAACGAAAAAAATAAAATAAAATAAAATAAAAATACACTATTAAACCTATTCAGGATTGTAAAAATTATATAGTACTACAAATAATCTAGACTAAAACTCTATACTAGTTATTTATATCTATATTCAGGATATAAAAATATAAAAAACCATCTGGTCTTAAAGTAGAGCTCCAAGAGTCGAAACTTCTAGTTGCTATCCCAAACTGTCAACAAGCCTTCTGCAATATTTCAACCTGTAACTTCCTGGGCAAAGTTTGCAAGCTGTTGTCCATTGACCCATGTTGGCAGATTAGGCACTCTCGGTGTAACTACCGTAACCTCTTAAAGAAAAAATATCTAATACTATAATCTAAAGCATACATGTATACGTGTATATATATTTTTTTTTTTGGTAGCGATTGTTATTATTGATCTTTTGATAAGAGTATGCCATTTTTCACACTTTTTGTAGAAATTTCGCAAAGACCAAAAGAGTGAGGTATGGAAGAGGGTTTTGGTTTGCAGGTAGCCTTAAACTTTGATAAGGAGTATATTGAAAACTTGCTTGTTGTTTTCCTTAGACCAACTATCTTTAACTTCATCAGCAGAAGCAAAGCTTCTATTAAAATTTTCTGTATAAGGACACCACCTTCTCGCCAGTTATCTTGTACAGGAATGCTTTTAACTTGCATACTGAATATACAGAAAAGTCTGAGGGAAACATAGAAATTCTGACCTCTGTAAAAACTATTATTGTATAGTTGTCTCTTCTACTTTTCTCCAACAAGTTTCTGTTTTCATTAGTTGTAAGTTTGGTATAAATGATCATTGGAGAGAGTTGCTGACTATATTTTTTGCTTAATTGGTGATTCGCCAGTCAACCAGTGAGAGGTCATAGTGTAACGTGATGCGGTTTACATATAGAAATTAGGGTTTTTGAAATGTGAGCTGTACTATTCTAAACCTTTTTTTGTACTAAGTTAACCATCTTTGAGCTTCTAATTGAAGTTGTAGAGCTTATTGAGAGGAATCTTTTAGTGGTTGAATCATCAAAATCGGCTTGGTAGATCATGAGATATCTTCGAAAAACGTTTCGCTGACTATATAATTTTCTCTTTCAATGATAGTATTGTTGAAAGAGAAAATTATATAGTCGGCGAAACGTTTTTCAAAGATATCTCATGATTTACCATGCCGATTTTGATGATTCAACCACCAAAAGATTCCTCTCAACGAGCTCTACAACTTCAATTAGAAGCTCAAAGGTGGTTAACTTAGTACAAAAAAAGGTTTTAGAATAGTGCAGCTCACATTTCAAAAAACCTAATTTCTATATATAAACCGTATCACGTTACACTATGATCTCTCACTGGTTGACTGGCAAATCACCAATTAAATTAGTTCAAAATAATTAAGTTATATATATTATAATTGTATAATAATTATATTTATCCGGCAAATACATATGATCATGGCGCAGCAACGCCTTGTTATTTTTTTACGTTATGACTAGAGGTGGGGACATTTCTTAAGGTAGTCACTACTTACGGCATTACGGCTATGATGTAGATGACGTACTACCCTAAGGGTCATATTGACGTGACGTAAGTGACGTGACATATGACGTTTGACATAGTGACGTAAGTAGTATAGTGTGACATGATGTATAATATTTGATGCAGTGACGTAAGTAGTGTAGTATGACGTTACATATGACGTTTGACACAATGATATAAGTAGTGTAGTGTGACGTGATGTATGACATTTGACGCAGTGATGTAAGTAGTGTAGTATGACGTGACCGGCATAGAGAAGTATAAGTGGTCAAAAAAACTAAACTCAATATAAATTAACCTTAGGTTATGCTAGTTGTTGCTAGGCATGAGTTTAGAATATACTAAGGTCTAGGTTATTGTTCCTTATAAACGTTGAAATAAATTAACTAAATATCAGATCTACAGTATTCATTTACAAGTTACATTACTTTATCCAAATATCTTGTCAACAATTACTTCCTAAAATCAGAAAAGTAATTGTTGAGCACGTAGTTGTTTTATGTACAATATTATAACTATTACTTTATTATATGTTAGAAATTCTTACATAGTCTAAATGACACTAAATTAAAAAATGCCCTATAGCTACTCTTCATGACCATTCTTCTGCTTTCGTGATTATTTTGACTATCCAGTAAAAGGATAATTTAAATTTCTGAAGTTGATTTAAGGGCAATAAAATAAGACAATAGACTACTTCTTTATGGTTCTTTATCAATTGCCGTGTCCTGTATACAATTTGAATTGGTGTATTTTGTATAAATCTAAGGGTGCTAACGGATCTCACCACATTCCAGTGCATTTCTTTAATATAACAAGTAAAATAAAAATACTTCTAACTTTCGAATTATCTCACAGATTGCCAAATTACTTTGACAGTATATAGCGATAGAACTTCCTAATTTTTTTTTGGCGGTTTCATATTTGTGGCACAATTGTAAAAGCAAATTGTTTCTTTAGCATAACGAGATAATCTACAACAATCAGCCAATCACAATAAATTCCGCTATGCTAATAAGGCCTAAATGAAACCAATTTGTTAATAAAGATTATATATAATAAGTTTTTGATTCTTTAAATATTATACAAATTTAAGAAAAGAAATCTATATTTCTAGCTTCACTTT